TGTACACTTTCATTTTTTCAATGCAAGGTCTCTGATTCTCTTCAGCAGAAGTAGTTAAGTAGGATAGCGCTCTGATTGTTGTTCGTACCACTCCATAGCTGTCTCTAATGCAGTAAACGCGTCAGAATTTGCTGTTGTCCTCGTCTTCACCCGTTTCATCGTCGACAGGGTCGAATTCTTCTTGCACGGAAGTCATAATCACGTCATCATTTAGCATTTGAAATCCACAGTCTTCTGCATCGCATGCCATCCAGGTTTCTACATCAACAAAACACAACAAAAGAGCACGTATACACCACCTCACTTGGAAACGAACTGACCTAATATTCAACGCAGATGTTTACAAAACCACACAGCTGAAACTCCCCAAATATCCATAACCTTGGGCTTTCTCGTCACATTTGGCCTCGTAGGAAACAAATGTTGAGAGTTGCGCTGTTCGAAAACGGATCCGGACTTTGGTTCGTATATTTGAAGATCCGGATAATAAACGTTCGAATAAACGAGGTTCTACAGCACTTCTAATTGAAAATATGACATATGTGTTATATCCCTAGAAAGGTCATGAATTAAAGATTTCAGAAATATATAAAAAACTCAAATTCGATCATTTGAAGATTTTTAACCTACTGACCCTTTACGAATTACGTTTTCGAGATTACACAGTATGAGTCAAATTCTACTAATCAATTGTAAAACCATGTGAAAAACTGAAAAAGGAACCCGGATAGCTCACTTGGTAGAGAGTTAGGCTTTTAACCTAACGGTTCAGGCTTCTTTTTTACTTGAAAAAATTTCAGATGATTGAGTAAAAAACGATGAAGAATCCTCTTAAATTTATATCTAGAGGTAGGTTTCAAAATATCAGTTTGAGTTAAAGTTAACTTGCGTCTTTTGGAAGGGAAATTTTTGTTTATCTCTACTATGAAACTTTATATTCTTCTAAAGTCAGTCGGAAAAGCGTCAGACTTTTAACCTAACGCTCTGGTGTTCGAGTTACTGTTCGTGCGTTTTTTTTACTAGAAAATAATTCACATCATTAAGAAAAAACGTTGAGGAATTCTCTTAAAATCATGTCGAGAGGTAGGTTTGGCAGATAAGTTTGAGTTAAAATGATCTTGCGTCTCTTGCATGAGAAATTTTTTATTTTCTATGAATCTCTGTATAATTATGACACTTTTTTACGTACTAATCCAAATAATCGAAGCTATCAGAAGATGCCCGGATTGCTCAGAGCGTTAGGCTTTTAATCTAACGGTCTAGGATTCGAGTCCCTGTATAGGCATTCTTTTTACTTGAAAAGAACTCACACCAGAGAGTAAGAGAGCTGAGGATTTCTCTAAAATCATGTCGAGAAGTAGGTTTTGGCAAATAAGTTTGAGTTAAAATTAACTTGCGTCCCTTCGATGGGAAACATTTTTGTTTTTCTCTTCTAAGAATCTTTGTATTATTCAGACGCATTTTTACACATTGAACAAAAGAATCGAAGTTACCAAAAACGTTAGGCTTTAAACCTTACGGTCCAGGCTACGAGTCCTTCTTCAGGCGTTCTTTTTACTTGAAAAAAAGTCATACGATAGATAAAGGGAGGCAAGGAATTCTTTTAAAAAAATGTCGGGAGGTAGTTTTGGAAAGATCAGTTTGCCTGAAAATAATCTTGTGTGTCTTTCATGGGAAATTTCTTTTCGCTCCCAGGAACCTTTGTATTAATCACACGCTTGGGAATATATTAAATGAAAGTACACAAAAAAAAATTCTAAATGCAATGGTTTTCAACAAAAGAAACAAAATGTTACACGCATAAATAATAGATTTAACTTCACTTCGAGAGGTTGAGTTCAGCAATTGAGTTTGTGTTAAAATTAATTTCCTTATCTAGGATAGAAAATTTTTGTGTTTCTTTTCTATGAACTAAATTGTATTATTCTGACGCTTTTTTTATATATTAAACATAAGAATAGAGGTTGTCGAATGAAGCCCGGATAGCTCAGTCGGTAGAGCGTTAGGTTCTTAACCTAACGGTCCAGGGTTCGAGTCTCTTTTAGTGTGTTCTTTTTAGTTGAAAATAAGTCACACCTTAGAGTAAGAAAGTTGAGGAATTTTCTTAAAATAATGTCGGAAAGTTAGTGTTGGCAGATAAAATTGCTTGTGGAAATTAACTTGCTTGTGCTAGATGGGAATTTTTTTTCACTTCTATCAAATTTTGTATTATTCTGACATATTTTTTCATATTAAACAAAATAATCAAAGTTATCGAAAGTAGTCCGGATGGTTCAGTTAGTAGAGCATTGGACTTTTAATCTAACGGTACAGGGTTCGAGTCCCTGTTTGGTCGATTTTTTACTATAAAAGAATTCACATCATTGAGAAAGAACGTTGAGGAGAGAATACTCTTAAAATCATGTCGAGAGATAAGTTCGGAGCATGCTTCAAAATTAACTTACGTATGTTTGATTGGAAATTTTTGTTTTTCACTTCTACGAAATATTATATTATTCTGTGCTTTTTATATATTAAACAAAAGAAAGGAATATTTCGAAAAAAATCCGGATTGATCAGTCGCTAGAACGCAAGACTTTAACTTAGCGGTTCAAGGTTCGAGAGCTTGTTCGACCATAGCTTTTACTAGAAAAGAATTCCCATAATTGACTAAGAACGTTGAAAAATTATCTTAAAATCGTTTCGAGATGTAGGCTTTGGCAGATGAGTTTGAGTTAAAATTAACTTGCGTCTCTTGGATGAGAAAATGTTTTGTTTTTCTCTTCAATAAACATTTGTATTATGCAGACACTTTTTTACATATTAAAAAAAAAGAATCGAAGTTATCAAAGGAAGCCCTGAAAAACTCGGTCGGTAGAGGGTTAGGCTTTTAAACAGGGTTCGAGTTCCTGTTCGGGCGTTCTCTTAACTAGAAATCAAATCACATCATTGAGTAAGAACGTTGAGGAGTTCTCTTAAAATCATGTCGATAGGTAGGTTTAGGCAGATGAATTTGAGTTATAATTAACTTACCTGTGTTTGATGGGAAATTTTTGTTTTCCTCTTCGATGAAATTTTGTATTATTCTGCAACTTTTGTACGTATTAAACACAAGATGCGAATTTAGCGAAGTAAGCCCTGTTAGATCAGTCGGTAGTGCGTTAAGCGTTAAACCTAACGGTCCAGGGTTCGAATCCCTGCTCGGGCAACCTTTTTACCGGAAAAATAGTCACACCATTGAGAAACAGAGTTGAGGAATTCTCTTAAAATCACACTTCGAGAGGTTGGTTTCGACAGATGAGTTTGTGTTAAAATTAACTTCCTTCTCTTGGAAGGGAATATTTGTGTTTTTTGATTTTCTCTTCTATGAACCGTTGTATTATTCTGACACTTTTTACATATTAAACAAAATAATCGAAGTTATCAAAAGTAGCAAGGATATCTCAGTCGGTAGAGAGTTAAGCTTTTAACAAGCGGACGAGTCCCTGTTTGGGTTTTTTTTGTACTTGAAAAGAATTCAAGTGAGTGAGTGAATACTAACGTCCCACTGTTCAGCTACACGATGGATTTTGGGGACGGTCCACGTAACTTTGAACCATGGTCAAGTGACTCGGAGGACACCTGAGCTGGCACCCCCTCTCCTAAATACCACACCACACCAATGGAAGGACGTTTGAGCTCTCGAGAGATTTTACGTGCGTCACTCCACTACGCGGCGGGTTTTCAGTGGTACTGGGAAAAAAGAAGTCAAACCTTAGAATAAAAGAGTTGAGGAATTCTCTTAAAATCAGTTCGAGAGGTAGGTTTCGGCAGATGACTTTTTGTTAAAATAAACTTGCGTTTCTTGGATGAAAAAAAATATTCTTTTTCTCTTTTATAAATCGTTGTAATATTGGCATTTTTCAAAATTTTATACAAGAAGTTCTCAAAAGAATCCCGGAAAGTTCAATCGGTAGAGCATTAGGATTTTAACCATGGTTCGAGTGCATGTTCGGGTGTCCTTGGTACTTGAAAAGAAGTCCCACCATACAGTGAAAGACATGAGGAATTCTCTTAAAATCATGTCGAGTGCTAGGTTATGGCAGATGTGTTTGAGTTAAAAATAATTTGCGAGTGTTTGATGGGAAATTTTTGTTTTTCTCTTCTGTGAAATTTTTTCTCCTCTGTATTGTTCTGTGCTTTTTTTAAATAATAATCAAAAGAATCGATGTTACCGAAAGAAGCCGGATAACTCAGCCGGTAGAGCGTTACGCATTAAATCTAACGGCCAAGGATTTAATCACACTGTTCGGGGGTGTCCTTTTTACTTAAAAAGAAAACACAAAATAGAGCAAGTGAGCGGTGAAATTCTCTTAAAATCACGTCAAGAGGTAGGTTTAGGCAGATGAGTTTCAGTTAAAATTAACTTCCTTTTCTTGAATGGAAAATTTTTGTTTTTCTTTTCTATGAACCTTTGTATTAGTCTGAAGCTTGTTGATATATTAAACAAAAGAATCGTATTTACCTACGGAAGCCCGTATAGCTCAATCGGTAGAGCGTTAGGCTTTTAATCTAACGGTCCAAGATTCGAATCCCTGTTGGGGTGTTCTTTTTAATTGGAAAGAAGTCACACCATAAAGTAAGACAGTAAGGATTTCTATTAAATTAATGTCGAGAGGTGGGTTTCGACGGATCAGTTTGCCTGAAAATTAACTTTTGTGTCTTTGATGGGAAATTTCTTTTTCACTGCCAGGAACCTGTGAATTATTCACACGCTTGAGAATATATTAAATGAAATTATAACAAGAATTTCTATAATGCGATTGTTTTTATAAAGGAAATAAAACGTTATACGGATAAATAATAATATAACATTGTATATAATTTCAATATTCTTGCTAAAATCGAATACATGCAATAAAATACGTATCCATTTAAAAAAATCGATGGGATTGTTCTGTTTTAAGTGAATTACGTTTACGAGTAGTACGAGTTCAATTCTATTATTCTATTGTTGAAGCATGATAGGAATAAAAAATCGAGCCCGGATAGCTGATTCGGTAGAGCTTTAGGCTTTTAACCCAACGGTCCAGGGTTCGAATCCCTGTTTGGGCGTTCTTTGACTTGAAAAAGGTTCTTATGATTGAGTAGGAAAGTTGACGAATTCTCTTAAAATCAAGTCGAAAGGTAGGATTTCGCACATGAGTTTGAGTTAAAATTAACTCCCTTCTCTTGGATGGGAAATTTTCGTTTTTCTTTTCTATAAATCTTTGTTTTTTTCGGAAGGTTTTTTATATATTAAATAAAAGAATCGAATTTAAGGACAGAAGCCCGGATAGCTCAGTCGGTAAAGCGTTAAGCTTTTAAGCTAACGGTCCAGGGTTCGAGTCCCACAGTTTGGGCGCTATTTTTACTCTAAAAGAGTAAGAGAGTACACCATAGAGTAAGAGAGCTGAGGAATTCTCTTAAAATCATGTCCAGATGTAGGGTTAGGCAGATCAGTTTGAGTTAAAATTAACTTCCTTGTCTTTGAACGGGAAATTTTTGTTTTTGTTTTCTATGAACCATTGTATTATTCTGAAGCTTGTTGATATATTAAACAAAAGAATCGATGTTACCTACAAAAGCCCGGGTAGCTCAGTCGGTGGAGCGTTAGGCTTTTGACCTAATGGTCCAGGGTTCGAGTCCCTGTTCGGATGTTCGTTTTAATGCAGAAGAACATGCACTGTAGAGTAAGACAGTTGAGGAATTTCGTTAAATTAATGTGGTGTGGTAAGTTTCGACGAATCAGAGTTTGCCTAAGAGAAAATTAAATTGTGTGTCTTTGATGGGAAATTTCTTTTTTTTCTACCAGAAACCTTTGTATTAATCACACTCTTGGGAGTATACTAAATGAAATTATAAAAATAATTTTTCTAGATGCGATTGTATTTAAGGCGATATGGTACCCTAAAAATCGTCAAACAATCGATTTTTTTATTTGCTTATGTGATACTTTTAATTCTTCTAAATGTGTCTGCAAAATTTCAGAGCTGTAGCTGTATTTTTTATTGAGTTATTTATCCATTTTTGCTGCATGACTGTAGACTAAACAAAGCTCCCACGCCCACTTTTCAGATCGTATGCTAGAAAAGAGCCTGATAAATAAGGAACTAATTTTTTTTTAATTCCACGCTGACTAGTGTTTAAACTGAAATGAAATCATTGCTTTGTTTTGATTATACGAGAGTTATTCTACTGCGTTTTCTGTGAAGTTTTGTTCCTGCAAATTTAGTTATATTTTTGTACTCTTTGTTCTAAAGAGAAAGAAAAGTTGCTTTACGACAAGGAATTTGGCGTTTTGAAATTGTTTTCATTTAAAAATTTAATTTGATTTCTCCAAAAATTTTAAAAGTGTAACATGCCTAGGCCTAAAAGGCATACTAAATCTGCCATAATGAAAGCTTCGAAGAGGTGGTTTCCAGATGCTAAGACAAGTTCAAAAGTTTCTCAAAACACTAACTTGAGGTGTGCAAAACTTGAAGAAGAATGCAAGAGTTTTTTTCGTTTGGATGAAAAATATACTGGTAAACCCAAATCCCCAACATACGTCATTATTGATAAAAATGCATTAATGAATCTTTTTAAAAATACTCTATGTAATACTTGCAGAAATGCTTCTTTGCGAGTAAATTTTTAAAGAGCCTATGGATTTTGTGAAAATATTCAAGTTGTGTGTGATTCTTGCGCTGATATTATTAATGAAATGAAAACTTCTGAGCAGATTTGTAATAAAAAAAGATGGACTAAATCAGCCCTACGATATTAATTTGCGAGCTACACAAGCATTTTTGAGTTTCGGATGTGGATATCAAGCTCTTGAAAAGTTCTGCATGTTTATGAATATGCATTTAATGTCCAGAAGAACTTTTAACACTTACAAAAGATGTTGCATTCTTCATTTGTGAAAGCATCCGAGAAACATTTCCATCACATCAGAAGTGAAATTAAGAAAGCATACAATGCAGAAATAAGTGGTGTAACCAATATTGCTGTTTCCTTTGATGGTACTTGGTTGACCAGGGGGCATGCATCTCAGATTGGAGTTGGCTGTATCATAGACATGCTGACTGGATATGTTGTTGATTTTAAAGTGATATCTAAATATTGTAAAGAGTGTGAAATAGCCAAAGGTGAACTTAAAAAAAATTCAGCTGAGTATGAGATTTGGTTTAACGGTCATAAAGATTCTTGTAGTGGAAACCATTGTGGCTCTTCAGGTTTAATGGAAGTCCATGCAGCATCCGAATTGTGGTTGAGATCTGAAAAGATTGGATTTAGATACACTACAGTACTTTCAGACGGTGATTCCAAAGCGTTTCAACATCTGACTGAATAAAAAGTCTATGGCGATGTTAAAATAAACAAAGAAGAGTGTGTGAACCATGTGAGCAAGCGACTAGGAACAGCTCTCCGAAAATGTGCAAAGGAATGGCGTTCAAGAGGAGTTACTCTCGGTGAAAAATCTTATGGCAGTTTGAAATATGAAACCATAAAAAAGCTTACGCAATATTATCAGAATGCCATTTTAAGCAACAAAGGCAATGCCGAAAACATGAAGACTGCCATATATGCTACATTATTCCATAGCATTTCCACTGATGAAAAACCCCAGCACTTTAAATGCCCTTCTAGTCAAGAGTCTTGGTGTTTTTATTAGTCAGCTATTGCAAACGGTAGAAAACCAGGTTCGCACAAAAAACTGGTAAAAACACCAGTGAATGAGGCTCATTTGGCAAAAATATTGCCAATTTACCAGAGACTTGCTTCGAATGATTTATTGGAGCGTTGCATTCGGTACATGACTCAAAATTCCAATGAAACGCTGCACAGCATTATTTGGAGTAAGTGCTCTAAAATATCATCCGCATCATTGAAACGAGTGAATATTGCAGTTTGTGATGCAGTATCTGAATTTAACGTTGGAACTTTGCAAACACTTGAATTTATGCAACAAGAAAATAAAATTTATCTGAACAGCATAGCGAAAAATGTAGCAATTTATAAAGATTTTAGAAGAGTATACCAAAGAAAAAGAAGAAGAATAATGTTGTACAATTTGGTGCAGAAAAAAATCAAACTAGCTCGTAAACGCAGAGAGAAATTAATTCGTGAAAAAGAAGGTGTTTCTTATAAAGCAGGAAATTTTTAAATTGTTGATCACGTATGCAATATTTTAATTTATTTTATTTTTATTTATATTTACTATATTATAGTTTAATTTTTATAACATTGATTGAATGCTAGAAATTTAACAAAATTTTATTTGTAAGAAAAGCAATTGCAGCCGTGAAACTTCGAATTTCTCGTAGTTTTGCAAACTTTATTTTAGTAATGCTTTATTTCTCATATCTGAAATTTCAACATGTAATTACTATAAAAAATATTCAAGAAACTTATTTAAGCAAATTATTGGTTGTAAATTTCCAATTTTTATATATTTTATTTGTGAAACATTATTCTTTTTAAGAAGCTTTAAATTGAAAAGTGTTTTTTTTTTTCATTTTCTTCCATTTCGGAACAGTTTTTAATATATTAAGGCTTTTAAAATTATGAAAAAAATAGTATGAATATTTGTGTATATGTTTATTATGGTATCATAGAACTGTGCATGGAATTAACTCTAAAGTGTGTGTTTAATTTTTTAAAAAAATTGTTAAGATAATGTTTTATGAAATATTGACCTTTTTGTTTGTTTTCTTTTATATATTCATTATACAAGTATATTCTTTTATTCTTGTAAATGTTTAAAAATTTTTATAGTAAGCAGTTTGAAACAAACTAATTAACATTCCATAAAAGTTTCAGATTATTGGAGGAATTTTTTATCATGCTATTCAAGGAATGAAAACTTTAAACTCATTTTTATCCATGTTGAATTTTTGTACATATACTGTTATTCAAAACCCTAAGGCTTTTTTGATAATTGAAGTAAAGGTTTGAAATTTTTTATACATGTTCTGATTTGTATGTTTTGTAAAACTGTGCTTGGAATTAGCTCTAACATGTTTAGTACTTTTTCTAAAAAATTTCAAAAACAAAATTTATGTTTTTTCGAGAATTTTTGGAAGTTTAACAATAAAAAAATTAATAAAAAATTAAAGAGCAGCAGCAGAAAAAAACCGATGCACAGTTTCATGTAGTATATTATAAGGTACTTGGAAAAATAATTTTGAAAGAAAAAAGACATTTAAAAAAGCCTTAGAAATTTAAAAAATGTGTAAAAAATTTTTAAAAAATTAAATTTTACAAACATTTTGCAAGAAATTAAATCTTTTTTGTATGGAATTATTATTAAATATTAACCTATATAAAATACAATTAAAACTATATAAGTTGAATATTCTTGCTAAAATAGAATACATGCAATAAAATACATAATCATTTCAAAAAATCGAAGGGATCGTTCTGTTTTAAGTGAATTACGTTTTCGAGTAGTACTAGAGCAATTCTATTATTCCATTGCTGAACCATGATAGGAATGAAAAAGCGATCCCGGTTAGCTCATTAGGTAGAAAGTTAGGGTTTTAACCTAACGGTTCAGGGTTTGAGTCCTTATTCGGGCGTTCTTTTGACTTGAAAAATATTCCCATGATTGAGTACTAAAGTAGACGAATTCTCTTAAAATCAAGTCGAAAGGTAGGATTAGGCAAATGAGTTTGAGTTAAAATTAACTTACTTTTCTTGAATAGGAAATTTTTGTTTTTCTTTTATATGAAACTTTGTATTATTCTGAAGCTTGTTTATATATTAAATAAAAGAATCGAAGTTAAAGACAGAAGCCCGGATTGCTCAGTCGGTAGACCGTTAGGCTTTTAACCAAACGGTCCAAGTTTCCAGTCTCTGTTCGGGCGCCATTTTTACTTACTTACTTTACTCACACCATACATTTTGAGAGCTCAGGAATTCTCTTAAAATTATGTCGAAAGGTAGGTTTAGGCAGATGATTTTGAGTTAAATTTAACTTCCTTTTCTTGAATGGGAAATTTTTGTTTTTCTTTTCTGTGAACCTTTGTATTATTCTGAAGATTGTAGATATATTAAACAAAAGAATCGAAGTTACCTAAAGAAGCCCGGATAGCTCTGTCATTAGAGCATAAGGCTTTTAACCTAAAGGACTAGGGTTCCCGTCCCTGTTCGGGCGATCTTTTTACTTGAAAAGGATTCTCATAATTGGGTAAGAACTTTGACGAATTCTCTTAAGAACAAGTCTAGAGATAGGGTTCCGAAGAAGGTTTTGTGTTAGAATTAACTTCTTTCTCTCTAATATGAAATATTTGTTTTTCTTTTCTATAAGCCTTTGTATCATTCTGACGCTTTTTTATTTATTAAACAAAAGTATCGAAACTATCGGTAGAAACCCGGAGAGCTCAGTCGGTAGAGCTTTAGGCTTTTAACCTAACGGTGCAGGGTTTGAGTCCCTGTTAGTGGCGTACTTTTTTATTTAAAAGACGTCAAACCGTAGAGTGATACAGTTGAGGAATTCTGTTAAATTAATGTCGAGAGTTTCTACGGATCAGTTTGCCTAAAAATCAAATTGCGTATATTTGATGGGACATTTCTTTTCGCTGCCAGAATTCTTTGTATTATTCACATGCTTCGGAATATATTAAATGAAAGTATAAGAAATTTTTTTTTCTAAATGCGATTGTTTTTAACGAAGGAAACAATACGTTACAATGATAAATAATACATTAACATTCTATATAAGCGCAATATTCTTGCTAAAATGGACTACATGCCATAAAATATATAACTGTTTCAAAAAAATGATGGAATCGTTCAATTTTAAGGATCTCAGGGGTGTTAAAAATGTTTCGAGAGCACAAAATAAGAACAATTTTCGACTAGAAATAATTCTTTGAGGTTAAAATGAAATAATTTTGATTCTTTTACACATTTTTTAAAAAGGAATAAAGTTTGAAAAAAGTATAAAATGTCTAAAATATAATCATAATTTAAAAAATACTAAGTACATAAATATAAAAAAATTTTGTGTAAGAAACAAATAGTAAGTTTTACGACGCGCATGAAATTTTTTGCAATAATAATTCTAATTAGTAATAATAAGTTGATTTATAAAGTCAAATATATCCTTATTACATGTGGTAGCGATTTTATATAAATAGAATAAAAAATAATATTTTTAAAAATAAAAATTACATTTTTAAATTTTTTTTAAAAAAATTTACTTTTTTTGAATTTTTTCAAAAAATTTCAAATATGTAATACTATAAATAGCTAGGATTTAAAGATTATGATAGAGTTTATTTTTGTAAAGTATGATAGTTTTTGAAACGCAATGCGCGTACATGAAAAAAACACAAACTGAGAAAAAAGGCTTTCAAGTTTTAAATTGAATTTGAGAAATTAAATTTTAAAACGTACATGCTAAAATGCTCCAGGAGCATACGATATGCCTTCCTATTGCTCAAACAGCTCAATTTCTTTACTCTTTTTAATTTTTTTGGCTTTGCGAGCTTCAAACGATGATGCTAAGCTCCTCTTTCTTGACGTAAAGATTCGACGATTGTCACGTTCAGCCAGGGACACACAAACATTTTTGTTAATTTTTAAGCCAAATTTCTCTAAAATAGTAATAAGTATTTGATTTCCATCATTAAAAATGCTGGTTGCTAGATTTGCAGCAATCTCTGCAATCTGAAGGCTAGAATCAATCGTCTTAGGACAAAACTTCCAGATTAATGAATTTAAACTTTCATTAGGATTCTGTGTTTTACCTCCTAAACATTTCTTCAGGAGTGCTAGATGAGATAAGTTTGCAAATACAGGCTTAATTACATCTTGAATAGCTTTAGCAAGTGAGGGTTTTTTTTTATAATTTTGTAAATTATTATTAATTGCAGCATTATACTTACACCATGTATTTGGATTTGTAAGACAAAACCAGTGCATCGGTTCATCATCGGTGCTGCAAGAATGACTCCAAACAGCCCAAATGGCTTTCCACATTTAATTTACACTAGTAGAATTGCATCGAATAGCATTAATACAGTGATGCGCAAGCTTATCAGTTAAACTATCAGTTAACCTACCTTTACCGCCTATAGTTTTACCATCAGATAATTTCTTTTTACCATATACTAATTTAAGCTTCCTAAGTCTTGTACCCATTCTCTTTTGCACATGGCCTACACATTCTATTTTCTGAATAAGATGGTCATCGCCGTATGGCTTGTTTTCAGAAAGGGCATTGAATGTTTTTGTGTCGCCATCTCCTATGTAGTTCGAATATTTCAGGTTGTGAAGCTTTTCTGATCGATTAAAAGTCCTCAACATCCCGTCAACCTCCTTCTCACCAGCAGAGCCAGAATAATTTTTTCTACATAAAATCTTATATGCTCTTTGCCATTTATTGTACTTGATACCAAACTTTACCCCTTTATAACTGTCGCATCCTTTGCAAAATGAGGACAACACTTCCCTATCCAAAACCTTACCTGTTTAGGCACCTATTAGAGTACATACTCCAATCAACGATGAATGTCCTCTCGTCTTCCAGGTCCCATCACCACTTACCGTTAAAATATTATCAGGTGACGAAGAATTTTCTTCGACAGCTGCCCTGTTCATGCTTTCTTCGGCGACTTCCTTTATAACAAGTGAAAGTTTTTGTTTAATAACATAATATGATTTTTGTTCAACAGGATTAGGAAGACTCATTACAGCACAAAAGGTTTTTAATGACTCTAAACCTTGACCTCTATGCATCTCATTGCTAAAATAGATCTTCTATTAATTTCTGCAGCATTATTTTTATTCCGAGTGTTTTCACAGCTTGAAAAAGTACAAATACTCCCACAGTTTTTACAATGAATTTCAAAATTCGAACATAAAATAGGAGTGGATTTTTCATTAATTGTTAATGGTTTTTTATGACATTTTGAATAGCATGATACTGACAAAATAGAGCTAAAGTTTGAAATAAAATAAAAAATACGATATCCTTTGAAGTTTTCACTTACTTTAACGAGATTTGACTTTAATGAATTCCTGAAAGTTTTTTGCATGAAGCATTTTTCATTTCGGCACACTTACTTGTATTTTTCATTTCTGCACACTTCCTCGTATCTTTCATGTCTGCAACATGTGAGTCACTTACCTTTAAATATTTATTTCCTCTAAATCTTCTTTTCTTGGGGCGTTTGCCCAATGAACTTTTCAGAGTATCCATTAATCAAATTCTATTTGTATAAAACAACAAATATCTTCGATTTAGATAAGTGTTTTAAAAAAAGGTGTGCTAAAGTAAACACAACAGAATCAAAACACAGCAGAATGAATGTGTTGAGTTGCAAGCTTCCCTCTGATCAACTCAAGCGCTTAAAATATTTCATGAGGCTTATTAAAAACAGAAAAAAGAAACGTATGCATAAATCAAGAATAAGGGGGCGTGGCATGTGTCCATTTAAATGAAAGTATAAGAAGAATTTTTTTCTAAATGCGATTGTTTTTAAAAAAGGAAACAATACGTTACAAGGATAAATAATACATTAACATTCTATATAAGCGCAATATTCTTGGTAAAATGGACTAACATGCAATAAAATATATAACTGTTTCAAAAAATTGAGGGGATCGTTCTGTTTTAAGTGAATTACGTTTTTGATACCACGTAGTACGGAATCAATTCTATTGTTCTATTGTAGAACCATGGAAGGAATGAAAAAATGAGCACGGATAGCTCAGTTGGTAGAGCGTTAGGCTTTTAACCTAACGGTCCAGGGTTCGAGTCCCTGTTCGGGAGAACTTTTTAGTTGAGAAAGATTCTCATGAATCGGTAAGAACTTTGACGAATTCTCTTCAAATCAAGTCAAGAGGTAGGGTTCGACAGAAGGGTTTGTGTTAAATTTAACTTCTTATCTTTTGAATGGGAAATTTTTCTTTTTTTTTCTATGAACCTTTGTATCATTCTAAAGCTTTTTTATTTATTAAACAAAAGTATCGAAACAATCGGCAGAAGCCTGGATAGCTCATTCGGTAGAGAGTTAGGCTTTTAACCTAAGGGTCCAGGGTAAAGTCCCTGTTTGGGCGTACTTTTTCATTCAAAAGAAGTCACACCATACAGTAATACAGTTGAGGAATTCTGTTAAATTAATGTCGAGAGGATGGTCTCTACGAAACAGTTTGCCTGAAAATCAATTTGTGAACCTTTGCTGGGACATTTCTTTTTGCTGCCACAATCCTTTGTATTAATCACACGCTTCGGAATATATTAAATGAAA